CCTGTGTAGTATGTATACATAGTGTCCTCACATAACTAAAACTGGCTACAAAAAAAAATCTAAAGACAGTCTGAACTCTTTTTGCAGAAGCAGAGAGATCCATCTTCAAATTCAAATGGTCTTTTAAAGGATTCCCAAGTAGCCAACACATGTGTGTGTTACATGTGTGTATGTTACTCAAGGCTAAAGTTCTACCACGTGAGCCACAGTGCCACTTCCAGCTTTTTGGTAGTTTATTGGAGATAAGAGCATCATGGACTTTCCTGCCCAGTCTAGCTTCCAACTATAATCCTCAGATCGCAGCCTCCTGAGTAGCTAGGATTATAGACCTAAGTCACCAGGTACCCAGCTGCCCAAACATTCTTTAAAAAAAAAAAAAATAGAGGACTTCTATTTCCTGGTTTCAAAAGTAACTATTAAGTGACATCACTCAAACAATATAATGCAACACAATGAGGACACACAGCCCCAGGAACAGGGTACAGAGCCCAGAAGTAAGCCCTCATCCCTGCACTCAAGTCACCATGACATTCATGGAGTTTTTCCATAAATGGATCTATACTTAAGACATAAAAGGTTTAGAAGAAATACCAGGGGAAATAACCAGTGAAAACCAGAGCTGGAAGTGTAATTGTGTCGTGGTAATTGTGTTGGCCTAGCAAGCCCAAAGCCCTGAGTACTAAAAGAAAAAAAAAAACAACCTAAAAAACAAAAACAAAATCAACTAAGTTGATTTCTAATGAAGATAAGGGAATATAGGAAAGAAAAATAGTGAAAATTCAATCATTCTAATAGAAGATAGGAATGGAAAATATTTTAAATCATGGTAAATAGAAACAATGTAAATGTAAAACAAGAGGGTAAAAAAAAGTAAAAATGATAAAATTAAATATTTAAATCACATTCTATTTTTTTTTTTTTTTGGTTGTGGGACCTGAACTCTGGGCATGGGTTCTGTCTCTCAGCTCTTCAGCTCAAGGCTAGCGCTCTACCACTTGAGCCACAGCACCACTTCCAGTTTTTTCTGCTTATGTGATACTGAGAAATTGAACCCAGGGCCTCAGGCATGCAAGGCAGGCACTCTACCACTGAGCCACCTTCCTAGCCCTCACATTCTATTCTTGTAGACATACTTTTTTGTTGTTGTTGTTCTGTTTTTTGGTTTTGTCGGTAGTGAGGCTTCAACTATGGGCCTGGACGCTGTCCCTCAGCTCTTCAGCTATCACTTGAGCCACAGGGCCACTTCCGATTTTCTGGTGGTTAATTGGAGGTAAGAGTCTTACAGACTTTCCTGCCTGGGTTGGCTTTGAACCGAGATCCTCAGATCTCATAGCTAGGATTACAGACATAGGTCACCGGTACCCGGCTGTTGTAGACATACTTAATAAACAGTGGAAGTAGGGAAAATCCACATAACAAATAGTAAGAAAATATAGGATTATAAGAAGCTTGACCTAACTGACCTTCATACAATCATGCACCGGTTATTAAAGAACCTGCATCCTGCTTTCATACAATTAGATCACTTAACACTGTGAACCAGGCACAAATCTCAGCAAACACTGAAGAGTTAATACCAAGGACTTAGCTTAAAAACATTAGCTTCACCAGGTGCTGTGTCTCATGCCTGTAATGCTAGCTACTTGGAAGGTTGAAATTGGTTGCATGGGGTTTCAAGGCTAATGGAGAAAAGTTCAGGAAACTCTTCAGTAAGGGAAATGGAGGTCTGGACACAGTGGCCAATGCCTGTCATCTTAGCTACAAGGGACACTTACCTAACAGAGGTGCTTACTTGGGCAAGAAGCAAGACCGATACTCTATCTTAGAGATAACCAGCAAAAATCACAGCTGTCAGCAAGGCTTAGTGACAAGAGCATCTGCCTCACAAGCACAAAGATCTGAGTACAAACCCCAGTACCACAAACATTAAAAAAATTAGCTTGAGGCTGGGCATTGGTGACTCATGCCATCATCCTAGCTACTCAAGAGATCAGATCATTGTCCAAAGCCAGCCCAAGTGGGAAAAGTAGGTGAGACTCCTATCTCTAATAAAACACCAGAAAACTGGAAGTGGTCTTATGGCTCAAAGCAGTACACCATTAGCCTTGAGTGAAAGAGCTCAGGGACAGTGCCCAGGCCCTGAGTTCAAGTCCCATACCAACAAAAATAAAACAATAAATTACCTTAATATAATTCAACTCAGTCATGAGGCAAAAGTAGGAGGATCAAGGTTTGAGGTATGCAGCAATACAAAGGAAGACCAGAAACAAATTCAAGGTGGGCAACACAATGTGAAATAAGTCCTACAAAAGTGAACAAACTCTGAATGGAGCTCAGATCAGGGAAGAGGAGCTGGCCACAAAGGTGGGTTAGGGCCAGACTAAAAGCTCCAAGCACGACGGGGGAAGGTGAGAGCTGACTTCAGAGGTGGAGGCACCTGGGCGTGAAGTCTTCCTGCTTTACAGTGTACAAGGAAGGTAAGAAGAAATGGTAGGAGCTGGGCTGAAAAATGAGGTTCTCACCCTTGGATATTGCTATTACTGCCTACAGGGATATCTTAGAAATATAGTCCCTGAGATCGTTGGAAAGAAATTGTTTTTTTTTATTAAAAATAATAATATATCAGGGCTGGGAAGGTGGCTCAGTGGTAGAGCGCTTGCCTTGCATGCCTGAGGCCCTGGGTTCAATTCCTCAGCACCACATAAGCAAAAAGAAAAAAAAGCTGGAAGTGGCGCTGTGGCTCAAGTGGTAGAGTGCTAGCCTTGAGCTAAAAAGCTGAAGGACAGCGCCCAGGCCCAGAGTTCAGGCCCCACGACTGGACCCAAAAAAAATAATAATAATATAAGCTGGGCATCAGTGGCTCATGTTTGTAATCCTAGCTACTAAGGAGGCTGAGATCTGAGGATCGAGGTTCAAAGCCAGCCTGGGAACAAAAGTCCATGAGACTCTTATCTCCATTTAACCATGAGAAAACCAGAAGTGGCACTGTGGCTCAAAGTGGTAGAGCACTAGCCTTGAGCTGAAGGCCTCAGGGAAGTGTGTAGGCCCCATAACCAACAAAGACATAATAATAATAATATATAATTTAAAGTATACCTGCATTCAACTCCCCTGAGCCCTTGGCCACTCAGTGCCTTCCTTTTCTCTCCATCTCTTTGGCCCTCCCTGTTTTACCCATCCCTACCTCTACTTCCTGCCAGGGGACTGACAGCTGGTCGTTCACATCCCACTACATAGAGGGCCATCCCACTCACCTGTGGCCATGCCACATGGTGACCTGGCATCATGCCCCCTCCAGTGGAACCCACTCCAAGTTAGAATTAGGGAGAGACTCTAGTCCGGCCTTAACCCTGCTGGAGGTTACCAGCAAAATTGCCCATTCTCTTTCACTGGTGACTTTTTTTCCCCTGGTATTTGGGTTTGAATTTAGGAACTTGGACCTGATTAGCTTCTTTGCTTGGCTGGTGCTCTACTACTTGAGCCATATCTTTAGCCTAGCTTTTTGCTGGTTAATTTGAGACAGCCTCATGGACTTGTCAGACAAATCTGGCTTCAACCACAATCCTATGATCTCAGCCTCCTAAGTAGCTGGGGTTAACAGGCATGAGCCACCAGTGCCAGGCTCTCTGGTGACTTTTTGAAATTACAAATGCATTTGTGCTAAAGTAGTGACAGGTAAGGTCTCTCTCCCATTTAAATGAATCTCCAAAATCCAGAACTCATTTCCTTCTTCCAACTTATTTAGCGAAGGCAGCTTGATGAACCAAGTACTCTTACCATTACACATAAATACACACAAGATAAAGGGGGAAAAAACCCAATGGGATAAATTGTAAACTTAGAATGGAACAACAAACCTGAATTTGTGGAACAAAGCTAAAATGCATTTGAAATCTTTTCAGGCCATAAACACTATTTAAAAAAGAAAGCCAATTCCCAATGAGCTGAAGAATAAAGTTAAGGATTTACACCGCCCTATTTCAGTCATCATAAAGTTACACATTGTTTGGTGGTGGTGAAAAAACAAAAATATATATCAGTGTGCTAGAACAGAACACACACATACACACATTTAGTTGACTGCTTTTTTACAAAGATGATAATTACATGGAGAAAACACAGTCTTTGCCACATAGCCCCCACCAAGATCAAAACATAAAGTGTTAGTGCCTCTTAAGCATGTAATGTGTCTCTTCTGACAAGCATTCCGGTTTTTTTCATAAATGTCATACACCATTAACCCTCTGAAGGAATTCAGAATTAAGACATTGTAAGGTTGAGCAAACTTTGGAAGGTGTTTGTGTGGACCATTCTCTTTCATTTGTTTGGTGGTTTTTTTATTTTTGGTTGGATGGCTCATTAGGTTTTTGAGATAGCCTTACTCTTTAGCCCAGGCTGGCTCTGAACTTACAATCTTCCTGTCTCAGCCTCCCAGGTACCTTAGATGGTGTCTAAGGGCCATTACTGTCTTTTTCCCGGTGGTATGACTATTGGAAAGTCACTTCTTATTTCTCATTTTCTTTTTTCTGTTGGTCATGGGTGCTGGAACTTGGGGCCTAGGTGTTGTCCCTGAGTTCTTTTTTGTTCAAGGCCTAGTACTCTAACACTCTGAGTCACAGCACCACTTCCAGTTTTCTGGTGGTTCACTGGAGATAAGAATCTCATGGACCTCTTGCCTGGGCTGGCTTCAAACTGTGATCCTCAAATCTCAGCTTCCTGAGTAGCCAGGATTACAGGCATGAGCTACCAGCACTGGTCCTAAAATGGATTATTTAAAAAATTGGTCTAGGCTGGAACCTACCTAAACTCACTTTTTAAATGAAGGCCTTGATGAATGAGATTTTTACATGCTACTTGGTTTTGTCTTAAAAATATATCCTACCCAAAGAGGTTAAGAAGGACAGAGCCCATACTTCTCCATTGTATACTGATTTGACTGTGATACCTCCTCCAGAAGCTGGAATAGGAAAGGAATGCACCCACTCCCCCATTGCACTCACCTACAAAACGGGCTGGCAATAGTAGGAATCACATAACAAATCCCCCCATTCAGGCAAAAGGACCTGTGCCCTGGACCACAGGGTTCTTCGTGATCTAAAACACATCCGCATCGGGAATAGAGAAAGAGAAGTTAAAGTCTTTCGAATGCAACCAGGACCTGGGAACGACCAATCTCAGATTTAAGTAGTCACTGCAAAAAATAGAATGAAGCCTTTTTCTTTTCGCAATGAAAAAAATCTTATTCCTTGGTTCATTAGGATTCTCTTCCTTTGAGAGAAAAAAAATTCATTATAGAATAGATTTAGAAGCTATATAACAGAAATAAGAAACCTTTACACTATATGAAAACAAAAAGATGAAGTAGGCTCTTAGGGACTATCTCATTTAGTGCAGGGACTGCAGTACTAGAACTTTCCAAAGACTGTATTTAGATGTTTATTTTTCCTATAGGACTCAAATATATTAAATTCTGAAATGGAAATGAGAAATTTATTTAGATAATTGAAATAAGTGTTGACTTCCAAAATTAATTTTAAGTGTATATATGTATATAAAGTATATTAAAGAAATATGACAATGTCAAAAGCCAAAGAGATAATATTTCATTAAGTTTTGAATTGCATGGGAATTTTAGGTTGAGACCTATCTAAAGTCAAACTGAAAACCCAGGTTTTTGCTTACTGCATGGCCAAAGCATCCACAATACACTCTGTACATCACCTTTATAATAACAATAAAAAATAAAAAAAATTAAAAAAGAAACTTCTAGAATATTAAGGAAATAAACCTTCACTTCTCCCTTGCCTTTCTCGCCTTCCTCCATTTTTGCTTTCTTCTTTATCTTTGACCTTTTCTTTACCTACCTTCATCTATTTCCCTTTTTCTCTGCATACAGCTCCTTCTTTCCAGACTCACTGCCACATCTTATTAACACACACACACACACACACACACAAAACAGTCCACATACCACAAAACCTTTCCTTTCACTCCTGGTTACCAAAACATTGTACAGAAAAAACCAAAAGTGGGGCTGGGAAGATGGCTCAGTGGTAGAGCGCTTGCTTTGCATGCCTGAGGCCCTGGGTTCGATTCCTCAGCACCACATAAGCAAAAAGAAAAAAAGCCAGAAGTGGTGCTGTGGCTCAAGTGGTAGAGCGCTAGCCTTGAGCTGAAGAGCTGATGACCGGACCCAAAAAAAAAAAGAAAGAAAAAAACAAAAGTAATTATAGTCAAACTCATTGAGTCACAATGTTATCACTTCCAATTAGAAAATTGCTAAGAACTTTTCTTTTGCCTTTCCTTTTTTCTTTTCTTTCTTTTCTTTTTTTCTTTTGTTGTTGTTGTTGTCAGTTGTGGGGCTTAAACTCTGGGCCTGGGTGCTGTTCCTCAGTTCTTCAGCTCAAGGCGAGCATTCTACCTCTTGAGCCACAGCACCACTTCCAGCTATCTTTTGCCTTTCTTAGTGAATTATATTTTGATTGTTAAAATCACATGTTATGTGAATTCCTGGTTGTTTCTGTCTTTAAAATGAACCGAGTATCATCTTTCATGAAGAAAAAATGGTATCACTGTCATTTGGCATGAAAAATACTAATTTTTTAAAAGTTTCTATGATTTTTGCCACTAAAGTATTAATATTTGTTTAGATACAGTTGCTATGAGCCCAAGATATCACCATGATCAGATTCTGAAATTTAAAACTTTCTTTTTACTTTAGAATTGAGAAAACCCTGTTTTGGCATTACATTATACCTTCAAAGTATAAAAACATAAAAAGGAAACAAGTACAAAAAATTTAAGTTGTAAAAAAAAATGACCATCTCAAACTAATTTTTCTAGATTTCTTTTTCATTTTTACCCAAAGCCATGCTTCTTTATTGTAAAAAAAATTAATTACCTAATTTCAGGACTACTTTGACTAACAAATAAAATCCCAATTAATGTAACAAAAGGAAGTCATTCATCACATCTGTTTTTCAGTTCAACTACTGTACATATTCTTTAACTAGATGTATCTCAACATGTGATATTTGGTTGGGGGGGCCTCATCTGACCTGAATTACTATCTCTTAAATATTCATTTACTTAATATTCAAATAGCTGGTTTCAGATATAGAGTAAACTAGCATTTGCAGTGTGCAAAAACCAATACAACAGGTAAGTGGAAAGTAAAAGTTTTATGTTATAAAGAAAGGTCTCCAAAACCAAACTGATTCCTATGTTTGGACTGATTTTGGATAGGAACAGTGTAGCCTTGTGTGAATGTACATTTGTTGCTCTATTACTAAATGACATACACAAACAAAAGTATGAACTTACAAGAAATTACCTGTTGGCATCTTAATTTTTAAATAGTTTCATTCTTGGTCAAAAGAATAAGTTGAAAACAGCACCTAAAATAGTTTTAAAATTATTAATTGAAAGGAAAACATCATATTTGAGGGCATTATAAAATATCAAATATTCAAGCCTGGTGCTGGTGGCTATCAAATATCTTAATAGTGATATTTTTAAATGCTAAAAAAAAAGACATCCATATGTGAATGACAAAATCAGAGCATCTGTTTTTTTAGATAGTTAAAAAATGAACAGTCAAAATACAAGTGTACTAAATACACACATTGCCTAAATAATGTAAGCTTAAACCTTCCTATAGAAAAACTTGAGACATTTTGCTTTTAATAAACATTTAATGTAGGAGTGTATTCTATGAGATTATATAAGAAAGATGTGAGGCAATAAAGGAAATTCCATGACCTGAATTGACTTTTCCCTTTCTTATGAAGCCAATTTGTTATCTGACTTTTAAGAAGAACCTGTAACTTTGCTTTCATTTCATTGAAAATGGTCAGACATACTATATAAAAGGCTCAAACAGCATTGAAAATATTTGCTCAACATTGACAAGTACACTTTTTAAGTTTCCCATCGATTGATTACACATTACATTTATTAATCAAGACACACCTTTTAAAAAATACCTGGCATCTGGTAAAGCGAAGTAGCGACTGGGAGGTGCTCAAGTGTAAAGCTTTCTGCTTATCCTGCAAACAAAGACATTAAATGTATATATTGGAAAAGGTGAAACTTCATACTTACACTGGGGCTACGTGTTCTCAATTCTGCTTTGTAAAGGCAGAGTACTCCTGACTGAGACACAAACACTGTGGCAGAAATCAACCCACCTCTTCTCATCAACACAAGGGCAGTGTCTTCTCACCGTTTAAACCAGCCACTCTTTGGGTTATGCAGCAGAGAAAGAGAGAGAGGGAGAGACAGAGAGAGAGAGACAGAGAGAGAGAGGGGAGAGAGAAAGGGAAGGAGAGACAGGAAGAGAAGGAGCAAGAGAGGGGCGGGGATTGGGAGAGCACACATACACATCAAAATGATTTGATCAGAAATAATCATGGCTCCTTCTGAATTGCTTGCTTTTTTTTTTTAATCTCCAAGCATACTTGGCTTACCTCAATGAAAAAAAAAACCTTAGATACACAAATGATAAATGTAGACATGGCGTAGTTTCAAAAGTTTTTGAATAGTGCCATCTACAGCAGCTATGACTTGCATTTTTATAACATGTCAAAAATCTGATTGATCTGGCCGAGTGTGGGTGCGGTGGAGCAGCGCGAGGTGTGCAGAAATCTGTGCCACCAAGAACTGTGCACGGAGCCGAAGTCACTTAGAAAAGGGACTTGTACCAAGCTGCACTCCCAAATCACTATCCAAGTTCTAAAGTTATGAAATCAACCTCATTCTTGAGACTCCTTATCTCTCTGTGCCTGCGTAATTGGAGTCTTGCGAAAGTTTGCGGAGAAAAGGCATGTGGATCTAATGAATGGCCAGTGCTCCAGAGGGTGTTGAAAAAATAACTTACCATGGCTTAAAGAACTTACAAGTCAAGAAGGTAATTGCTCTCACAAACTTATAGCAGTGTCCAGCGTGAAATGTGGTCATTACTGACCTTGATGGCACTGTAACTACCTACAAAGCTGTTAGGTTCACATGAGGGAAAGTTAAGCTCTAAAATTCATATAGTAAATATAAACTGACCCTATAATTTCATCAAAACGAAATACATGGGGGGCAGGGTTCATCCTATAATGATCTAAAGCATGCCAAGCATTTAATATGGCTATCTTTTCTAAACCCTCATTCAGACATTACTACTTGAATGATGTAAAACACAGAAAGGCCTGCATTTATGCCATATAAAGGGGGTACATAGGGATATACAAAGGGGTTTCACATGTATTTTCCTAGGTGCAGATTCTATACTTGGACTGAATTCACCCCCCTTTACTACCCTTTCATCCTTTCTAAAACAATGTTAACAGGTTTCTTGGTTCTATTCATATCAGGTACAGTACAGTGTTTGAATGTTAAAGTGATGTGCCTACAAAAATTAAGCACCATTTATTGTTTTCTTTCTTTCTTTTTTGGCAGTGCTAGCTAGGGCTTGAACTCTGGGCCTAGGCTTCTTTTGCTCAAGGCTAACAGTCTACCTCTTGAGTCACAGTCCAATTTCTGGCTTTTTCTGTGATTAACTGGAGATAAGAGTCTTGCAAACTTTCCTGCTGGGGCTGGCTTCAAACCATGATCCTCAGAACTCAGCCTCCTGAGTAGCTAGGATTACAGGAGTGAGCCACCGGTGCCCAGCTTATTGTTTTGTTTTAACTACTATGCTATCTACTAATATAGAAATGGCTACTACATTTTATGTGGGAAATAATGTGTGAAGTCATCCATATTACATTTAGGTTTATTATAAGACGTAAATTTTATATTCAGTATCTTTTCTACAATAAGAATAAATCACCACTGGGTGTCACTGGCTCACACCTGTAATCTTATCTTCTTAGAAGGCTGAGATCTGAGGATCGTAGTTTGAAGATAGCCCAGGCAACGAAAACACTGATATGCTAATCTCCACTAAACAATCCAAATAGCCAATGGTGGAGCTGTTGGCTCAAGTGGTAGAGTACTAGCCTTGAGCTAAAGAAGCTCAGGGAAGGGCTGGGAAGGTGGCTCAGTGGTAAAGTGCTTGCCTTGCATGCATGAGGCCCTGGGTTCAATTCTTCAACACCATATAAGCAGAAAAAGTCAGAAGTGAAGCTGTGGCTCAAGTGGTAGAGCACTAGTCTTGAGCTGAAGAGCTGAGGGGCAGTGCCCAGGCCCAGAGTTCAGGCCCAACAAACCAAAAAAAAAAGCTCAGGGACAGTGCTGAGGCCCTGAATTTAAGCTCCAAGCACCCTCACACACAAATCAGCTGAAGAGCTGAGGGGCAGTGCCCAGGCCCAGAGTTCAGGCCCAACAAACCAAAAAAAAAAGCTCAGGGACAGTGCTGAGGCCCTGAATTTAAGCTCCAAGCACCCTCACACACAAATCATTGAGCCAAATAATTTTTTTCCAGTCCTGGGGCTTGGACTCTGAGCCTGGGTGCTGTCCCTGAACTTCTTTCTGTTCAAGGCTAGGGCTCTACAATTTGAGCCACTTCTGACTTTTTCTGTGACTAATTGGAGATGAGAGTCTCAGGGACTTTCCTGCCCAGGCTGGAATTCAAACCTTGATCCTCAGATCTCAGCCTCCTGATTAGCCATGATTACAGGCATAAGCCACTGGTGCCTAGCTGATTTTTTTTTTTGAGACAGGGTCTTTCTGTATGGTCTAGGCTGACCTCAAACTTTTTCTTTTGTCTTTGCCAGTCCTGGGGCTTGAACTCAGGGTCTGGGCTCTGTCCCTGAACCTCTCTGGTTCAAGGCTAATGCTCTACCACTTGACCCACAGCACCACTTCTGGCTTTTTCTGTGTGTGTGGTACTGAGGAATCAAACCCAGGGCTTCGTGCATGCTAGGTAAGCACTTTACCACTAAGCCACATTCCTAACCCTGGCCTTAAACTTTCTAAGTAGCTCAGCCTGGACACATTTGTGATTTTGCTGCCTCAGGATCTTAAGTGCTGGGATTACAGGCATGCATCACCACGTACATGATTCTAAAGTAGAAAATATAAACATTTTTCAAGCTAACATTTCACTCTAAAGGAAAGCTTTAATACTGAAGAATAATCTTTACAATCACCTATCAACAAGCATGTATTAAGTGGCCCACTATCTTTAAACAGTTGACAGTCTCTTGCTAGATTGGGAAATAAGATAAAGGCAAGTAATTACAAAAATGTTTTAGACCAACCTTCAGATATGATTTGGATCTTAAATGTCACTCAAAGGCTCAAGAATTGAGAGATTTGGTGTCCAGATGATGGCAGTAATAAAAGATAACAGAGGTAGAGGTAGGGCTTAATGGAAGAATGCTAGGCCCTTGGAGGCAATCCCTTGAAGATGATATTGAAACTCCAAGCCTTCCTCTTTTTGCTTCCTACCATCATGGCATAAACAGCCTTGCTCTGCTTTGCACTCTCTGGCATGATATTCTGCCTTGCCACAGGGCACAGAGTGAGGGAACCAAACTTCCCATGCATTGAAACCATAAGCCCAAATTAACATTTCTTCCTCTAAGTCTATTTCCTTGTGTATCTTGCCATAGTGATGGAAGGATGACTGATAAAGTAACTTTTACACAAGCCCTACAGGCACTTAGAGCAAGGATTTAATTTCATGTGATCTGATCTAGTCTCATAAATACTTGTGTCACTATATGAATATATATACAAACAGAAAAAAAAGAACAATGCTTAACTGCAAAGAAAAATGTCTTTCTTCACAATTATTGCCAGGTGCTGGTGGCTCATACCTGTAATCCTAGCTACTCAGGAGGCTGAGAACTGAGGACCGCTGTTCAAAACCAGCCCTGGCAGGAAAGTCCATGAGATTCCTATCTCTAATATTATGTACAAAAAAAAGCTGGTGGAAGTGGAGCTGTGGCTCAAAGTGGAAGAGCACTAGCCTTGAGCACAAAATCTCCCAAGGACAGTGTCAAGGCCCTGAGTTCAAGCCCCAATACAACCCCACCCCCCCTAACCCACCCACCCCCGCTGCCAAATCGATAGCAATAGAAATTAGGATAAAAGAGAGTAGCAAGTAGCAACTAAAATGTACTTAGAAGACAAATCCACAGAACAGGTGAGCACGATAAGAAAAGGGGAAAAAATCAAGGGAAATCATTAAGTATTATTAAAATTAAACAAGGAAGAGAACTATGAGGGAAATGCTCCTAAAAGCCACAGTGAGATATGTGTTATGCCCACTGGAGTGGCTATCATCCAAACCGTAGCCAGTAAAAGGTGGAGCTGAAGACACTAGATTACACCTTGCTGGTGGGACTATAAAATGATACAGCCACTTTGGAAAATAGTCTGGTAGCTCCTTAAAGAGTGCAACATA